TTCACTTAGATTGACAATCTCAAGGTCCACCCATGTTGCTGAAAGTGGCATTGTTTTACTCTTTTTTAAAATCATAACAACAATCCTGTGATGTCTAGGTTTCATCCCCATTTCATGAATGCTAAAACTGAGGTCCAAGTTCAGACAGCCTGCCAGAAGGAGGCAGACCTAAATGTTGTCTCCTCAACTGGAAAGAAATTCCTGGGATACAATCATCATATCTTTAATCCTTTAGTTTATCCTACAGAGGACAGTGTAGTCCTTGGCATACAGGTACTTAGTAAATGGTTTTTGAAACGGTTTTGAGTTTGAGAGTAAACTGATTATGTCTCTGTAGTTAGGGGGCAGCAGCCAGTTACATATTCTTTATGGGAGTTTAAACTTGGAGCTCCCTCTAACATGTTGAAACCAGGTTGTCTTATCCTCACTAGGGTTTAAAGGTACAGGAGAGGGGTCACAAGATGTGCCATATGATTTTTGCAATCACTTGGAAATTGTACTGGCTAATTAAGATCATAGCCCATTATTTATTTTTTCATCCATTCATTTGTTCTTGTTCTGTTGTTTTACTCTTTAAACATTCAACAACTATTACTGAGCAACCGAAGCCTCATTCATGCCATATGAATTGGTCTATGATGATATCAGTATGAATAAAATATATAAAAAGGTTATTAACATTGGTTACAAGGAAGAGGGAAGAAGTAAAAAAAAAACCAAAAATTTATAGTTCACCACACCTGTGACAAGAAGAGTACAATTGATTCCTCCTGCTTAAATTTCTGTATATGAACGTAAATAACTCAATGAACAGAGTGGGGAGGTATAGCTCAGTGGTAGAGCACATGCTTAGCATGCACGAGGTCCTGGGTTCAATCCCTCAAACCTCCATTAAAAAGTAAAAATAAATAAACCTAATCCCCCCCAAATAATAAAAATTTTAAAAAGAAATAATTCAATGAAAAGAAAAGCTGCCAAAATATTAATGAGACTTACCTCAGGCTGATGGGATTTTTAGTAATTTTTACTATTTATCTTTATGTTCTCCAATGTATAACAGTTTCCAATAAGTATATGCATTGTTTACATAATAAAAATTATAAAGCTGAAATTATGGGAGAAAATAATTCATAGAGTGTCTGTTATGTGCAAAGAACAAGTTTCTGAATATCTGTATTCACCTGAGTTCTTCCTTTTACTTTGAAGTCACATTAATAATTCTTCAGATGAAAATCAGATTGAACCCTGGAAGAGTGGTGATCAGTGGACGCTAGTAGCTGTGAAGTTCTGTAACAAGAATTCCATTCAAGCTCTCTTAACTGTAGGTCTGGATGAAAGGGTTTTGGCAATGAGCTTGGCCCTTAGGTTCAGAGCTCCTTTGGTCCTGTGTCTTTGCTTAAACAGGAAAGGTAAGGTGATATCTCTGAGCTCAACCAGTCATTCCACAAGGGGGCTGGGAAAGGATATGAATAAGTCAATGAAAATCAATTGCAGTGATGGAAAAGCCATCTAAGAAAAAATGTCCTAGAGCCTGTGGGTCAGAGCCAGCCCCTCTGCACATGAAGGATCTCACAGTCTGTTTATTGACACAGAAGGTGGTTTTAATTACCCTGAAGGAATTTCTGGCATGTTTTGCCAAAGCCAGTCTTAAAATCTTCAATCAGTGGATTAGTGACAACCAGGCCCACTGGAGAGGTCTGCTCATGGGGGCAGCAGGTCAACTGTAGTATATTGCAGAGTGGCTGTTAGTGACAGATCATAGGTATGTTTTATGAGGGAAATGGAGATAGGAAAACACCACCATCCACTGATGAGATGATCTTGGCTTTGGAAGGTATGGTGTGTTTTATGACTGAGATGCCTCAGTTTCCTTCTCAGTCATTGACCATGGTCTCAGCAACCTCCCTAACCTCTGTTTTTGCTATACTGAGGGAAAACTTTAGTAAGATGATCTAGACCAGGAGTTTGAGTGACTAATCAAGCAATCAGCTTTACAGCATTACAAACAATGACTTAAAAATTTTTTTACCTTTCCAAATACAGGCCCAAGAAAAACTTATACTTATGGTCTTTACTTTTACCTATTTGTGTTGACCTCAAAATATTTTTTAAAAGAGCTATAATATGAAAAGCAGAATGATGAGGTCACATCTCAAAGCCATTCCAATATGTCAAATAACTTGAGGGGAAACCATAGTCCAAGGTAAATGCAAAGGCATCAAAGAAATTGCTTCCTTGATTTTTATCTCTTTGCTCTTGAGTCTCTTGGTTGAATCCTCTCAATAAGATGTAAAAACAGTCAGTAGTACTAATGCTATCTTTTATTCATCTCTCCAAGTTTAACTCCAGATGGAATTTCTTTTTCTCTCCCTATATAAATATGCCCTTCTCACTGTCTCCTTTTACTGCTGTTCCAGTCAATCTACTTATAGGCTAAATTTTACTCTCTAATGTAGACTTGCAAGGGTAAATAACTTGGCACCTTGAAATCTGAATGAGGGGGAGGGTACAGCTCAAGTGGCAGAGTACATGCTTTACATGCATGAGGTCCTGTGTTCAACCCCCAGTACCTCCTCCAAAAATAAATAAAATAAACCTAATTACCTCCCCCCACGAAAAAAGAAAGAAAGAAAATCTGAATAGGCATCTAAAGGTGTCTTTGGTAAAATAGATTGAGACTCCATTTGCTGCTGTTGAGCTACCATGAATGTCTTATGTCCCATTTAGTGATGTAGTGGTTTGGTGATAATCCTTTTTGCTTGCATGGAAAGGTTTCTCAGCCTATTTTATATGAACATTCACTGATCTAGGGATTTTCCAAGCTTACAGAGAAGTAAGGCCATTAGAAATGAATCCCTCTTAACCATCAAAACAACTGAGCACATAGTTCCATGGATGTCCTCGATACAGCTGATAATTTTCCATTTTAGACAATCCCCCTTCCTCTTGCCTTTCAGATTAGTCTGTCAGTAAACCAACTTGGCTAACCAGCTTGATATTTTAGCAGCCAAATTTTAGGCAAGGAAGGAGTTACATAAAATAATAATCTCATCTTATACTTCTGATGGGGTTTTGTATTTCTGCAAAATATTTTCACAACTCTTTTATCTACTATGTACAAAGAGTTTGGAGAACAAGTCTCATTTCCCCAATGAAAAAGCAAATCCTGTGAGGTTAATCAACTTGCCCATGAACACATAGCTGGTTTGTGGTGGAGACAAGACTGAGGTCCAGAGATTCTGATTCCTGAAACAGAGCTCTTTCCATGATATTAGAATGCTCAATAAAGTAACTTTCACTGAATTCTCAACTAGATGAAATCTTGCAGTTTGGCAGAAGAATGCTCATTTTTCTTCAGTACCTCTGCAAAATGTCAGCTACCTATATCCTTGGCACAAGGTTCTTTGGGTAGAGCAACTTGGCACGCCATAGCCCTTAGATTGATGGGCTTGGGTGTGTAATACATCTCATTCCTGAGGTCATTCATTGTTACTGTTGCCAAATGGGCTGATTTGGGGACCATACTCCTGACCAATAGTGCAGGCTTCAAAGAGGTAGAGTTTGGCGATTATAAAGATGTAGAGAAGCCAGTGGACTTAGTTGTTTCAAGACTGCATACTGTACCCAAATATCTAACTCACAAATATCTGCCTTTGGAACAAGTAAGAAGCTGTGATCATACAGTGGTTAGTATGCTGTGTTATGGAACAAGTAGGAAAATAGGTAAGAAAGACAATGGATGGATCATCCATTCTTATGGATGATCAACATGGTTCTTATCCCTGGAAACATAATATAAGGGCAGAGAAGTTACATTTACTGAGTGGTTTTTACATTCTCTGTACATTTTTTGCTTCATTTATACTTAACTATATGAGCAGCATTTTTTATTAAAAAGATGGGCTTATTACTTAAATCATCTAATGATAATTACCCACATATAAAACCAGGGCAATAACAGTAACTACCTTCTATGGTTGTTGTAAGGATTAAGTGAGAAAGTAGTTGTACAGTGGTTAGTTCGGTACCTGCATAGATTGACCATTAATTGAATGGTTGTTTGATTGTCTTTAGTATTGCTAGAAGCCTTAAATGATCATAAGTGTTATTTACACAGGTACACCAGTCCTTTCTGCCCTCCAATCCCAACTCCAGATAGTTTAGGGTTACATTAAAAAAAATACTCATGTGATTAAGAACCCTGACTCGAAACCACAGGGTTTGTGTCCTGCCTTTACCAATTGCTAGTTCCTTGACCTTGGGTAAGTTATTGAATCTCTCTGAGCCCAGGTGCCTCCTCTACAGAATGAGAATAACAATGCTTAACTACCTAAGGTTTTTGTGAGTGTTAAATACTACACTGTATCTGATGTGCTCAGGACAGTGCCAGGTACATAGTTGGTAATAAAAGCTAAATAATGTTAGGCTGTATTTTCATTAATGTTAGTTCTGTTATCTAAATGTCCTATAGCAAAATCATTACTGATAGAAGATGGTTGTTTGGATTACAGAACAAAGGAGACAGAAGTTAACACCCAACCTTAATCTTTGATCTGGTATCAGTTCTTGCTGGTGGTGATTGATCCCTTTTAAATAATAAATGTCATCTCGTATAATAATAAATGGAATCTTGTGAGAGTCTAAGCAACTGCTGGCCTTTTCTGAATATTAGATAAAGCATCAGGAAACAAAACCCCATTATCTACTCTATGCACCATCAGTAGGATAGTTTTTAAAGGTAATAGCTTTGAGATATTAAAAAATTAATGATAATTGGTTAAT